GATGCTATTGCCCTAACGCGGTTAAGAGGCTGTGCAAAGCTACTGATCCCGCATGGGAAGTCCGGCTGTCCGGCGCTTTGTGGGTTAGACGGGACTGGTCCGATGGGACTTTTGGGAGATATTGTGGCGGCTGGGCTGGTACCGACAAACGGGCGGCGAGCGGGCAGTTTCAAAGATTTTCTATCTTATATCGCTGCAGCTAGCGGTGAGTGGGTAGTTTCAACGATTTTCTATCTCATATCGCTGCAGTCGATGGCGCAGGCGCCAGTTCGAGTCGTCGACGAGATCAACCAGGGCATGGACCCACGAAACAAGCGGATGGTTCACGAGCACGACTTCCCCCTCCCCCCCGTATTGTTAGGCTGGGAAGGAGCACCTTGGGCAGGATAGCAGGAGCACCCTGACCCCACCACTTGTATTTAGATAACCAGAACCAGCAACTCCACAAGTTGGAGTCCAAGTATTATTTAGCACCGCATATCGCCTCGAAACATTGTCCCCGGTCACCATCATCCGGAACATGTCTCTAGCAGGCGGGATCTCAGGAATAAAAGCGGTAGACATTATATCGCCGCCGACGGGCTAGTCATCTCATCCATCCCTCCCTGGGACGATCCCCCACCAGACGCCCTCTGCCCCCTCGCCCGCTTCAACCTGACCTACTGACTAACACCTCTTTGCCGAACTTCAGCTATTCGATATCTTTGCCGCGACGCGAATTCAGTGCCATCCTCTCCGTGTGGTCAGACCCAGGCTCACAGGATCTCGAAGCGCTGCGAAACCACGGAACTTTGTACAGGTCCTCCTTCCTCCGTCACACCTTCTGGGATGTTGCGGTGTCCCCATTTGTGACTCCCCCAACGTACCACGCTGATCATTCGATAGTAGTTTGCTTGGAAGTTGGTTGCAAGGTAAGAAGCTGGCTGTAAGGTAGGAAGGTAAGCAACCCATTACAGGAAGCAGGGAGGTGCGCCGTGTCGGGGGAATTATTCGACACAATGGTGGACCCCGATCTCGGGAGGTTAGAGCGTGTTGGGCCAGGAAAGAGCACCCAGTCAATCATACGACTTCGCAGTCAAGATGGAAGGCACCCACCGACCACAGGCCCTGTATTTAGCCAGCCAGCAGGGCACATCCTCCTCTTTAACAAAACAAGCATCCCTAGCACTGCTCTCTCAGGCGCTTATCCCAGGTTTTGTGTCCTTGGCACTGAAGATCTCTGAGCTTGGTTGTCCGTTGTCACTGTGTCCTCGGTACGGAAGATCTCTGAGCTCGGTTATCCGTCGTCGTCGCCGTCTGTCCGAGCTTCCGTTCCAAGTGGGATATCAACTCCTAGATCTGCCTCAGGGTGTCCCAGTCCCAAAGAAAATCCCGGTTCTTCAAATCATTCGATGCCATGTGAGCTAACTTTTGCAAGTGAGGCATTTGTTAACACGGCGCTGTAACGTTGGGCGACATGGATGGGTCGAGGCCACTGTCATGAGGGCGGCTTCGCAAGTGGCTGCAATCGCTGGCAATCGAAGTTAATTGCAAGGTGCAGAAGCAAGAGGAAGGATCTTGCTTCTGCCCTGAGGAATCTATGGTGGGGTCAGGTAGTCAGGGCCAGAGGGCCATCCTCTCTTTCACCAAACAAGCATCCTTACCTGCACTTCTTCACGTACTTCCTCTACATCAATATGTCTGCCAAGATCATCCTTTGACTCGAGACGGCACCGCCTGCGACCAGGAGACGACGAGTTCTCCGTCGTATTCTGATTCCGACCGGAGACACAGATCGGAGGTCGGCTTCACCCCCGTGTACCGGCAATCCACCCCGGACATTTCTCAGGGCTGATTGCGAATTTGCAGAGAGAAAATCGCGGCTCGTCGACATTAACCAAAAATGCACGACGGATATTTAGCCACTAAGCGACCCTCCAGTAGCTGACGTGGGCTCCATGGCTGCGCTTCCGCCAGAGCGGACGCTATACTTTCACTCGTCGGCGGGAATGAAGACATGCAGACTCATATACGCTCCCGCGGCGAGGTCAGCATCGGGCTGGACGCGCAAATTGTTCCGCGGGTGTCGCCGCGGCCAGAGCCTTGCTAGGCCTGGGCCTTATTATGGCTTGTATTCCAGCAAAGTCCCCGTCCACTATGGGTTTTGGACGTGTGCCGGGTAAGGGCGCGACTCAGCATCACCATGGCCTTCTGTTCCGCAATTATCGTCCTGGTCTTGTGGACATCGCATGTGCTGGGCGATCCAGGTGGCTGGGTCGGCACCCGCCTGTCGAGACGGAATGCCATTCCCAGGTACCCCTTCGACCCGACCACCACCAGGTACTGCAACTGGTGGCTCGACAACGACGGCGCCTGGACTTGTGCTGCCATCCAGAACAGTTATGATGTGTCGCTCGATGACTTTTTAGAATGGGTAGGTTTACTGGGCATCTCTTCGGCGAGCACCGACATGGCTGACTTGCTAGAATCCATCTGTCGCGCTTGTCTGCGATGATCTTCCATCCAGACAGTCTTATTGCATTAATGCCAGTCCCCCATGGCCAGTCCAGTCAACAACAACACTGCTCTATGCGAATACGACAATCTCTTCGCTCTCGCGTGCCACGGTCCCGGCATTCACGGCCCTGACCAGGACGGAGTATATAGACGTAACCGTCCCCGTTACGGAAACTGTCACAACACCAGTGACAGTCGAGGTTACCGTGCCGTCCCCCTATCCTGTTACAACTCCGGTGACAATCAACAACACGATAAGCACACCCTATACGGTTACAGAGCAAACCAGCATCCCCACGACGGTTCTCGTCACGGAAACGGTTATAGATATCAACAATGTGTCGACTACAGTCCTAATCACCTCGACCGTCACGCAACCTGTTACCGTTAATGAGACAGTCGCAACGACGACAACCATCATCAACAGCATCACAGTCCCGACAACAGTGGTTGTCACGTCAACAGCCACGGAGTCGGTTTTCAGCAATGTGACCACACCTTCTACGGCTCTGGTCACGTCTACGGCAACTGAGTTGGTGACCGCTAACATTACTGTCCCGACAACCGAGGTGGTAACCGCCAACATTACCATCCCGACAACTGTTCTTTTCACCTCAACAGCTACACAGTTGATTACCGCCCTAACGACCGTCTTCAATGGCTCGATTATCACCAACAATATCACCATCCCCAGTACTGTGATCACGTCGACAGTGACCCAATCGGTGACAGCCAACGTCACTATCCCGACGACAGTGTTTTCAACTTCGGTCGTTACAGAGTCCACCACCGCTAATATCACGATCCCGACTACGCTGGTGGTGACCTCGCCGACAACCCAGTCCATCACGGCCACTTCGACCGTAACCGCCAACATTACGGTTCCAACAACAGTTCTCGTCACGTCCTTAGTGACGCAGACAGTCCCGTCAAACATAACGGTGCCGACCACCGTTCTAGTGACTTCGCCGGTAACGAGGCTAACAACCGCGAACCTTACCATCCCTACTACGGTTCTCGTCACCTCGACCGTGACACAGCCAGTTACCTACAACATAACCGTGCCGACAACTGTCCTGGTAACCACGCCGGTCACAAGGGTCACGACTTCAAACATCACCATCCCCACCACCGTCCTCGTCACTTCGGTAATCACGCAGACCGTTCCCACCAACATCACGATCCCGACCACCGTCCTCCTAACCACCTCGATTACAAAACCAACCACAACAAACATAACCATCCCCACCACCGTCCTCGTGACCTCATCCGTAACACAGTCCATCACAACCACAGCCACAGCAACAACAACCACCAGCGTCCCCGTCCCAACCACCGTCCTCACCACTTCCATCGTAACCCAGCCGCCAACAACAGCAACCCGCAACCTAACCGTCTCCATCACCTCCAGTGTAACCCTCACTGTCCCAACAACTCTCACCGTCCCACCAGTAACTTCCACCATCACCGCCCCACCGCTCTCAGTAACCATCACCAGCACCAGCACCCTCACCCCCCAGGCCCGCACCGTGACAATCTCAATACCCATAGCCGCCACCACGGTCCTCACCCAGCGCGTGACCGTCTCCCAGGTCGTCACAACAACATTCACATTCACAGCCACCAGCACACTCCTCGTCCCCGTCCCGGCTACTACAGTGATCACCTCCCGCATCACTATAACCCCTCGCGGCGGCGGCCGTGCTGCGACGGGAACTCCGGGACCCGTGGCGGTGAGGACCGTGACTGTTCTTGACAAGAGAGGATTGGGAATGGAGATGGGGCGGAACGGCGTGCCGACGCCGGTGCCGTATTTACCTGGGATGGTGGGGGATTGTTCTACGTTTTATTTTGTCAGGGACACAACCGACACAGGGGAGGATGGATGTGAGGCTGTGGCGGGGAGGTATGGCTTGGAGGGGGGAAAGGTGGGGGAGTGGAATGGGTTGGTTGTGGGTAAGGGTGAGGATGGGGATGGGGTTGGGGAGTGTGTTTTGCGCAGGGGGTATTATGCTTGTGTGGGTGTTTTTTGATGGGTTCTCTCTGTTGGTATGAAGAGGGTATATATACATGAGAGAAGTACTCCGTAGTAGGTAATCTGGGCGGGTGGTATATAAGGTAGGTACACAGTTTGGGCTATGACTTTTTTCTTGTTTTGGGTAGGGTAGGGGAAAAGGTTGTCAGGTATTAGGTATCTAGAGATACAATACATCAGAAACACGGATCTGTGTGGGCTTCTTTCCGAATCTGTTATGGCATTGAACTGCGAGTATTCTTCCAATATAGAAATGCAGTCCCCCAGACTTACGGTGGGAAACCGAGGCCCATCCAGGATAGCAATGCTGCCTGCTAGCAGCCTGTAGGGCACCGAGGTTGCCAGTGTGCGTACTCGATAACCACCCATAAATGTCCCGGCAGCCAAAACCAGCAAACATGCGCTGAAAATAGCGACCCGAGTGAAAAGTCCTTAATAAATAGCAATAGTGGACGCCATTCCAACAACAGCCGGAATAGCTCAGTGGTAGAGCGCATCACTCGTAAATTCGTAATGATGAGGTCTGCGGTTCGATCCCGCATTTCGGCAGGTTCTTGAAAATTCCGAGAATTTCATTCCCGGATTCGCCCTTTCCTTTTGCTTCTTTCTCTCTGTTACCTTTCCCTCTTTCCTCTCCCATTCTCATGTTTTTTCCCCGTGAATATTGCCAGTCAGTCAGTCACACTTTTTTCATGTCGCGCGTGCCTTTGGTCAATATGTAAAGTTTTCGGAACGAAGGACCGCCAAGACGTCTAGTCCGTCTGTCTGTCCCATTCCTTGCGAGAATCCGGGCTCGATGGGTACGTAATGGGGAGGGATATAAATTCACCCACCCGACCGAAAATCGGATTATGTATGGCTCTGATTCTGGTGGAGCAACGAGGATTGTTAACAATACCGGGGGAGGTATCCCTAGACTTTGGTAATAAGCGGAACCGAGACGGGAAAGATAGGGAGGGTCCCTCAAAGCACGTTCCAAATTCCAATTCGTCGGCGTCGAGCTTCCGCATTTGGGGCCTGAAGTCACCCATCCTGGACCCGTCCGGCACGGAGGGCTCAATCAAGGGGCCCAAGGCTGTACCAGGGAAGTAGCTGGTTCAAGGGTTGCATAAGTCAGTGTGTCAATTGTGTTGGTTGATCCAGGTCAGTTTCCTGATCTGGATCCGGCTAGCTAAATATTCGATCGTGATGGCTTCATGCCCAGAGGTAAACAAAGGAAAACAAAACAATACAAAGGTCTTTACCGTGTAGGCATCACTGGCAACCTCGGTGCTAAGTGCCTACCAGGGTCGTTCGTCACTGTTTACTGAAAGCTGCGCATGGAACCATTTCAGACTGGACCTACGTTTTCATGTCGTATCCGTACTCATAGCTTCGTGATCATGAATCTGTCGTCTCTATCTCGGAGCCTTTTGCGAACCATATAAATAAATCGTGTGCTTCCCGATCAACAGCACAATCCCCCCAAATGCCATTCATCAGTACAGCGCATCAGAATACAACACCCGTAGCTCCAGCAATGCACCCCATATATACAGACACACGCAAACCTTACACCAACGCTATGGCGAAAACGTAAACACCCTCGCCTTCTTAATCCCATCCACCGGATCCACCCCGTCATCGCTCGACGGCATATCATGGATACTCTCCACCGACGACCTCAACCCCGACATCTCGTACATCAGAATCACCCGACACGCCGTGACCGAGGCGGTATACCGCCCAATAACGCCAAACGCATCCCGCACCGAGATGAACAGCATGCTCGAAAACGCCAGCGTCCCAAAGATGACATGAAACGTCGTCGCCGTCGACGTCAGCCACGACAAGACCAAAAAAAGCTTGGTCTCCGGAATCGTCTCCACCGTAATATTCTTGTGCTTCGACAGCGTAAACTCAGACTTGAGAATCGGCGCGTTCGTCGACGTGGCCAGGCGCAGCCGCGATTTGAGACAGAGCGCGCCGACGGCGTGCACCACGATGCCCGTGGCCGCCCACAGGCCGGGCAGATAACTGCTGTCGGGCAGGATCATGGTGATGACGCCGACGCCGAGCTGGTACGTGACGTGCACCACGTTGGCGACGGCCGCCAGCGCGACGCCGTACTCGAGCAGGAGGATAACCCACGGCGGCCCGATGCGCAGGCTATAAAAGCGCCCCTCGCGCGCGCGCAGGATATCGACGGGGTCCTTGAACTCGAAAGGCCGCAGCGCCGTCAGCACCGGCCCGCCGGCTAGCAGCAGCGTGGTCAGCAGCGGCCGGCGCGAGATGACGTACAGCAGCGCGCTCTCCTCGCTGCTGCTGCCGAGGACCGACAGGGCGAAGGGCATGATGCCCAGCAGCACGGCAGCGCTGGCCATGTTGGTCTTCATGAATTCCGACGTCGACGCAATCAGGCACTGTACGACGGCCTCGCCGGCCGTCGCGGTGCCGTTGAGGTTGGGCGGGATGGCGTGGTTGCCGCCGGCCCAGGCGTCGTACTCGGTCGAGCACTGTTCGGCGAGAAGCGTGGTGAAGACGGTCGAGTATTCGGGGTACCAGGTGCGGAAGCCATTGACGGTTGCCGAGGCGGACCCGAGGAGGAGAGTCCCCAGGATGGCGGCATGTGTCAACCTCATCGCGCCAGCCTTCGACGTTGAAAGAAAAATGTTTACAAGAAGCTGTATCCGTAGATGATGAAGGAAAAAAGGCAGGGATCGGCGGGAAGGATGGGATCGTACATATGTATATGTTTTGTAGCGGGAGTTTCATTTGGGGGCTGGGCCGTGGTCCCCCCGCTCTCTCGGATGCCTAATCCTCGCTGCTGCATACGACGTGGCAGTGCACTTGTTATGCGGACAGCGGTGAAAAAGCCGCTATCCCCAGATCTGCGCGTCTGAACCGGCAGCCACCAGCATCAAACGCGACAAAAAAAAAGCCCGACGCCCTGCAGCTTCAACAGACACAGGAATAAGGCACATGCAATCATCGGTGGCGTCTGCGGGCGGTCCCGAGGCGGGTGTTTCGATCAGCTCGGGCATCAATCGGCTGACAGACATGTTGTTGGTAGAACCTTGCAGGAGCGCGAATGCGAGGTTGGGAGTCGAATCCTTCGCGCTTGCGGGGTGCTGACTACTAGTTATCGATAACACGACCAGTTTTTTCCCCCCTTCATCGGCGTCGAAGGATCGCGAGGGGCAATTGTCCGTACATGTAAATACCGTGAAGGAGTTTTGAGTATCCCCGTCGTACCGCTTATGAGCTCCATGGCAAGACTGGAAAACCGTGCAGGAGATATCCCTGAACCTGTTGGTCAGAGAGATGGTCGAAGGAGGCGGGGACGGAGAATGAGCGCCTTGATGGGGCGAGTGCTATGGTATAGTTGTATTGCGAATCTCTATCCACCCGTTTCAACCAGGCAACTCCGTCTGATGCGCCATCCCGTGTCCCGACTTCCAACTCGTGTGATCCCATTGCGAACTCGGCGCCCCCAGGAGAGAGGAGTCCTTGTTCGCTTGATATCTAAAGGTCTGGGTGAAGGCTGCTTGCTCTGGGCTTAGGTTCGTTTTTTTCTTGTTTCCCCATCGCCTTCCCAGCCAAAAGGCAAATAGGACAGCGCCGACGGCGGCAACGATGCCGCCAATCACGGGTCCGGCAATCCACGCCTGGGACGACGGCGGGGCGTCGGTTGACGATGGCGGTGGCGGCGGAGGCTGGGTGGTAGATGTTGGATTCAGACTTGGGCTCGGGGTCGGAGTCGGAGTCGGAGTCGAGGTGATGATCTCCCTGTAAAGAGTGCCCGCGCCACCGGCGCCGTCAGGAACACAGTAGATATTGGTCCAAGTGCTCGTCGGTATTGGGAATTTATCGATAACGATGTCTCGGCCGCAGTTGGCGAAGTTGCTGCCACTGCGAGAAGCGTCAATACTGGGATACTGGGGTTAGGTGCAGAGTGAGGTGTACCAGAAAGCAGTGCTTCCATCTAAATAGCTCATAGTGCCTGCGTTGCATGCCGTGATATAGTCACAGATTAACCCTGGAGTGCAGCAGGCAGCCATAGTGCCGGCGGTTGACCATCTTTCGTCTGATCCGCAGAAGACTGCGCTACCTAGCGTCGAGGAAGTCACGTTAGCTAAGGTTATCTCTTCGAGACTTGGTAAGCCGGTTCATCAAGCTACGTACTTGATAGTGTCGGTCCCAGAGTCAACGAGTAGCCCCGGAAGGACTCAATCGATGTTTGGGCCATGCCGGTGAGGACGAAGCAGGCAAGGGTGACTAGGCTTCGCCAGGCCCACAAGGGCTTTCTTGCAGAGAAGGGAGCCATCCTCTCTCGTCGCTCGGGAAAGCCAGTGAAACACACGGTAACGATGAGAAGAAACATTGAAAAGGCTGGGGGCATGCCCATTTCCCAGCTTCCTAAGTATTCGCAGAAGAAGTGGCGGCAGAGAAACCAGGGCCGCGGGGGCGGTCGCGACGTGGCAGCTCATCGTCTCGCTTGCCGCCGGGTGCCTTGTCGGTGAATCCTGATGGATATCACCAACGCAGGTGGCGTTTCCCCCAGGCCGCTGTTTCTAGACTGACATACGAGCGGGCGTGTGGGACCGTGGCGCTAAAAGGGGGTCGCGACGTATTTTTGCGCATTTTTGGGTTCGGGTGCACCACGAGTGAAAGACTAGGTAATAAGGATGTTTGCTTTGGTGGAAGAGAGGATGGGCCCTGAGGGCTGGCTGAATACAGTGCCTGTGGGACCTTGCGCGCCTTCAATCTTGACTGGGTGCTCCTGCCTTGCCTAGAACTAACACGCGCAAAAAATGAGCGCTTTGCATTGCGCGAGGCGCGATAAGGAAAAAAATTTCGAGCACCTCGCGAGCATTTCGCTCGAAAATCCATTTTAGCGCGCTCGTATGTCAGTCTACAGCGGCTACGAGAAGTGTCAATTGGCTGGTTTGCGGAAGCGCCGAAAGATAAGATGCAGCGAAGTCGGCCTGCGCCAACGACAGCCTTCTCCCACTCCAGTCAACATGATAGGTAGCTTGCTACGGATCACGGAGCGAGCGTTCGGACTTCAAACCCCGGCAAGATGCAGAACATTGCTGCAGCAGCAGCACGAAATCTCCTTCTCCCCTGATTGAACCCTTGGTGGGTGGCGGTTGCGGTTCCTGCACGAGAGTGATCCCCAAGATGGGGGGCCTTCTTGCACCTTGACCAGACAAGTTTTTGATCAGTTGATCGTGGGGGGCACCCACTGGCCTACTGCCCGCCACCTGCCTTGCCCTTTCTAAAGCCACAGTTCTTGACGAACCCGTTCATCGTCAGGTGTTCACAAGAACAAAAAGCACGCAGCTCCTCGATGCTAGTAGAGCCGGGATAACAGAAATGTCATTCTCCTCTGGTTTCTCACTGCTCGACGCTGCTCCCAGCAAAGATTTTGGTTGTCGCCCATACCTGCGCGACTTCATCTTGGAGGAAGCTGGAGTCTGGGGTCATCCCAGGTGTGCCGCAGCTCATCAGCACGCTGGTAAAAACAGGGGGCCCAACGACCCGGTATGTAGACCTGCTACTAGAGA